GTGCAAAGCTCTTAGAGATGTACCCAGAAAGATTTACATTTACATTACATTTTAGTCATTTAGCAGACGCTCTTATCCAGAGCGACTTACAGTTAGTGAGTGCATACATTTTTTTTACATACTGGCCCCCCGTGGGAATCAAACCCACAACCCTGGCGTTGCAAACGCCATGCTCTACCAACTGAGCTACATCCCTGCCGGCCATTCCCTCCCCTACCCTGGACGACGCTGGGCCAATTGTGCGCCGCCCCATGGGTCTGTAATCACTGCCAAAGGTGATTCTAACATGTATTGACTCAAGAGTATGAATTCTTATGTACAGTTGAAGTCGGAAGTTTACATACACTTAGGTTGGAGTCATTAAAACTCGTTTTTCAACCACTCCACAAATTTCTTGTTAACAAACTATAGTTTTGGCAAGTCGGTTAGGACATCTACTTTGTGCATGACACAAGTAATTTTTCCAACAATTGTTTACAGACAGATTATTTCACTTATAATTCACTGTATCACAATTCCAGTGGGTCAGAAGTTTACATACACTAAGTTAACTGTGCCTTTAAACAGCTTGGAAAATTCCAGAAAATAATGTCATGGCTTTAGAAGCTTCTGATAGGCTAATTGACATCATTTGAGTCAATTGGAGGTGAACCTGTGTATTTCAAGGCCTACCTTCAAACTCAGTGCCTCTTTGCTTGACATCATGGGAAAATCAAAAGAAATCAGCCAAAACCTCAGAAAAGAAATGTGTAGACCTCCACAAGTCTGGTTCATCCTTGGGAGCAATTTCCAAACGCCTGAAGGGACCATGTTCATCTGTACAAACAATAGTACGCAAGTATAAACACCATGGGACCACGCAGCCGTCATACCGCTCAGGAAGGAGACGGCGTTCTGTCTCCTAGAGATGAATGCACTTTAGTGCGAAAAGTGCAAATCAATCCCAGAACAACAGCAAAGGACCTTGTGAAGATGCTGGAGGAAATGGTACAAAAGTATCTACAGTGAGGGAAAAAAGTATTTGATCCCCTGCTGATTTTGTATGTTTGCCCACTGACAAAGAAATGATCAGTCTATAATTTTAATGGTAGGTTTATTTGAACAGTGAGAGACAGAATAACAACAAAAAAATCCAGAAAAACGCATGTCAAAAATGTTATAAATTGATTTGCATTTTAATGAGGGAAATAAGTATTTGACCCCCTCTCAATCAGAAAGATTTCTGGCTCCCAGGTGTCTTTTATACAGGTAACGAGCTGAGATTAGGAGCACACTCTTAAAGGGAGTTCTCCTAATCTCAGCTTGTTACCTGTATAAAAGACACCTGTCCACAGAAGCAATCAATCAATCAGATTCCAAACTCTCCACCATGGCCAAGACCAAAGAGCTCTCCAAGGATGTCAGGGACAAGATTGTAGACCTACACAAGGCTGGAATGGGCTACAAGACCATCGCCAAGCAGCTTGTTGAGAAGGTGACAACAGTTGGTGCGATTATTCGCAAATGGAAGAAACACAAAATAACTGTCAATCTTCCTCGGCCTGGGGCTCCATGCAAGATCTCACCTCGTGGAGTTGCAATGATCATGAGAACGGTGAGGAATCAGCCCAGAACTACACGGGAGGATCTTGTTAATGATCTCAAGGCAGCTGGGACCATAGTCACCAAGAAAACAATTGGTAACACACTATGCCGTGAAGGACTGAAATCCTGCAGCGCCCGCAATGTCCCCTGCTCAAGAAAGCACATATACAGGGCCGTCTGAAGTTTGCCAATTAACATCTGAATGATTCAGAGGAGAACTGGGTGAAAGTGTTGTGGTGAGATGAGACCAAAATCGAGCTCTTTGGCATCAACTGGGGCGGCAGGTAGCTTAGTGGTTAAGAGTGTTGTGCCAGTAACCGAAAGGTCGCTGGTTCTAATCCCCGAGCCGACTAGGTGAAAAATCTGTCGATGTGCCCTTGAGCAAGGCACTTAACCCTAATTGCTCCTGTAAGTCACTCTGGATAAGAACATCTGCTAAATGACTCAAATGTAAATGTAACTCAACTCGCCGTGTTTGGAGAAGGAGGAATGCTGCCTATGACCCCAAGAACACCATCCCAACCGTCAAACATGGAGGTGGAAACAACATGCTTTGGGGGTGTTTTTCTGCTAAGGGGACAGGACAACTTCACCGCATCAAAAGGGACGATGGATGGGGCCATATACCGTCAAATCTTGAGTGAGAACCTCCTTCCCTCAGCCAGGGCATTGAAAATGGGTCGTGGATGGGTATTCCAGCATGACAATGACCCAAAACACACGGCCAAGGCAACAAAGGAGTGGCTCAAGAAGAAGCACATTAAGGTCCTGGAGTGGCCTAGCCAGTCTCCAGACCTTAATCCCATAGAAAATCTGTGGAGGGAGCTGAAGGTTCGAGTTGCCAAATGTCAGCCTCGAAACCTTAATGACTTGGAGAAGATCTGCAAAGAGGAGTGGAACAAAATCCCTCCTGAGATGTGTGCAAACCTGGTGGCCAACTACAAGAAACGTCTCACCTCTGTGATTGCCAACAAGGGTTTTGCCACCAAGTACTAAGTCATGTTTTGCAGAGGGGTCAAATACTTATTTCCCTCATTAGAATGCAAATCAATGTATAATATTTTTGACATGCGTTTTTCTGGATTTTTGTTGTTATTCTGTCTCTCACTGTTCAAATAAACCTACCATTAAAATTATAGACTGATCATGTCTTTGTCAGTGGGCAAACGTACAAAATCAGCAGGGGATCAAATACTTTTTTCCCCTCACTGTATATCCACAGTAAAACGAGTCCTATATCAACATAACCTGAAAGGCCGCTCAGCAAGGAAGAAGCCACTGCTCCAAAACTGCCATAAAAAAGACAGATTACGGTTTGCAACTGCACATGGGGACAAAGATCGTACTTTTTGGAGAAATGTCCTCTGGTCTGATGAAACAAAAATAGAACTGTTTGGCCATAATGACCATCGTTATGTTTGGAGGAAAAAGAGGGAGCTTGCAAGCCGAAGAACACCATCCCAACCGTGAAGCACGGGGGTGGCAGCATCATGCTGTGGGGGTGCTTTGCTGCAGGAGGGACTGGTGCACTTCACAAAATAGATGGCATCATGAGGAAGGAAAATTATGTGGATATATTGAAGCAACCTATCAAGACATCAGTCAGGAAGTTAAAGCTTGGTCGCAAATGGGTCTTCCAAATGGACAATGACCCCAAGCATACTTCCAAAGTTGTGGCAAAATGGCTTAAGGACAACAAAGTCAAGGTATTGGAGTAAGGAGGCCTACAAACCTGACTCAGTTACACCAGCTCTGTCAGGAGGAATGGGCCAAAATTCACCCAACTTATTGTGGGAAGCTTGTGGAAGGCTACCCGAAACGTTTGACCCAAGTTAAACAATTTAAAGGCAATGCTACCAAATACTAATTCCCACTGGGAATGTGATGAAATAAATAAAAGCTGAAATACATCATTCTCTCTACTATTTTTCTGACATTTCACATTCTTAAAATAAAGTGGTGATCCTAACTGACCTAAGACAGAATTTTTACTAGGATTAAATGTCAGGAATTGTGAAAAACTGAGTTTAAATGTATTTGGCTAAGGTGTATGTAAACTTCCAACTTCAACTGTAAATGAGATATTGATGTGCTTAATTTTCAATACATTTGCAAACATTTCTAAAAACATGTTTTCACTTTGTCATTATGGTGTATTGTAAAAATCTATTTAATCCATTTTGAATTCAGGCTGTAACACAACAAAATGTGGAATAAGTCAAGGGGTATCAGTCAATTAATATTTTCTGAAGGCACTGTATGTCATTGCCCTTTTAAGAAGACATTGCCCCTTTAAGCGCTCTGTTGCAGCTTCACTTAAACCATGCTTCAAACACTTCAAAGGAGTAGAGAAATACATTTGGTAGCAATGTAAAACTAGGATCCCCCTCTTTTATAAACAAAGGCCAAAACTGCTTTCAAAAGTGTTTTCCTGCTGATTGCATTAAGAATAGTTGTTATTTGACTGCTTGTCAGAATACATGTTCCCTCCTATGGCTCTCCCAACTTGAATGAATCTCGAGAGGAATGTTTATCTCGCATAGAACACACAACAAAAAGCAGACGACTAGGCTAATAGGTAAACTATTCTACTATGGGGTTGTCTGATTTTGTTTTAATCATATTAAATGGCAAAAATAGTAGCACTAGAAAGTAACATCCTGAGTGATGAAGTATATGCTTTTAATTACTTTTACATTTATAACTGTTACTTTAGTGTTTGTTTTCTTCAATTTGTAGCTTACATTTTGCATCATTACATTCCGTTCTATGTAGTTGTTCCTCAGGGTCGCTAGCATTAGTGGATCATAATTAGGCTAACATTGTGCAATCATTTCGAACATGTAGCCTATTTTAATCATTATAGAACTCAGACCACATCTAGGAGGAGGTTAAAGATGCACTATACAGAAATCGCTCTGCCATTTCCTGGTGTCTAAGATTGAAATAGTTTGCATAATTTCAGTTTGTGACAAACCAAGCAAGTATAGTGTAGAGAATCATTCTACCATCTAAACCGCTGTGAAAAATATTTTCCATAACCAAAAATTGTATTTTCAGGTGTTTGAAGCTGGTGTACAAAATATAAAGTAAAAGAAACAAAAACGAAATTGAACGGGAAAGGATAGAAATAGCGCACATAGTCTACAGCTTCTCAGAGTTACTTTCAAAGAGAATCCCAGATCCATAACTCACATTTCTATGTGACTTTGGTCGGGTCACCCAAAAAGTTACATATTGTAGCTTTAAAGGCTATTAGAGGAGGTATACGATGTCCTTGAAATTGAAATGGCTTGCATTTGTCTGGAACGTATACATTGTTTTATGTGATAAATTGACGCTCTCTAGTGGACAAAACGAGAAATATATTTCTCTGAAAACCTACAGCTCCCATAATGCATTTCTTTATTGCCAACAACATTTCCGCATTGACGGCATGCATGTAGAGTAGCTAGCTAGTAACTTGTTTCGCCTTATAAAAGCTTTACTAACATTACATTTCTGTGTAACCTGTTGATAAAGGTAGCTGCAATGAACAGTAAAGGTATTAAGGCGATATTGCTTGACTTGGACAACACGCTCATTGACACAGCGGGTGCCGGTGGAGTTGCCATTCAAAAAGTGAGTTGTCCGGCCGTTTCATGACATTACTTTATTTTTTTATTTTTTATTGTCGATTAACGTAGGCATACAGATACTTGATAAAATAGTCCTTTGGTTTGTTCAAAACATTCCCTGGGTTTTTTGGTACACATATTACAACCAGCATTGATTTCCTTATTTCCCAGGTCACGGAGCTCTTGAAGACATTAGGCCATGAACACATCATTGACATTTGTGACAGATTTAAGCACAAGCTCTCTCACGAGACCTTTGACCCAGCTGGTGGTAGGACAATAGATGAGGTGCGGATCGGTCACTGGGAGGAGAGCATCCAGGAGGTTATGGGTGGGAGGCCCAGCTCCAACCCCACCCTTGCCAGTGAGTGCTACTACCAGTGGAAGAACACTCGCCTGGAGCTTCTAACCATAACACCTCCTGTACTTACCCTGCTGAAGCAGCTGAGGACCAGCCACAAACTGCTGCTGCTGACCAATGGAGAGACCCAGACACAGAGGGAGAAGATAGTGGCGTTGGGGTGTCAGGGGCTGTTTGATGCTGTGGTGATGGGGGGAGAGCATGCAGAAGAGAAGCCAGCCCGCTCCATCTTCACCCATTGTTTTGGCCTGCTGGGGGTGCAGGCTCACGACTGTGTTATGGTGGGTGACTCCCTGGACACAGACATTGTTGGGGGGTTTAATGCAGGGGTTAGAGCCACGGTGTGGATTAATAACGGAGGGGTGTGTCCACCTGAGGGATCTGTCAAACCAGACTACACCATTCCCTCTGTGCTGGACTTACCTGAGGTGCTGGCCAAGTTGAAATGAAACTACAGGGAACAATGTCTAAACCAATCACATGAAGATTGTTTCCAAAGGCCTGAGTTAATGAAAACAGGGGTTTCTTGTAAAAGGGATTGTAAAAATCAAAATCAGCTTATTTTCTTTCATATTTGATCTGGATGAAAGACAAATTACTTAACAGCAACAAACATTATTTTCTTACCTACCAAATTATGTTTAATTGTTTCTCTACTCTCTAATGCAGACATTTATAATAATTCTGTCATATTTTATGTTATCTGTTGGGTGTACATTAGACAAAGTTGATTAATGTGACCAGTAGGGAAAATGAGTTTTGACATTTAGACTTAACTAGAAGTCGGAATGACAATCAAGACGCATTCAAGTTGATCAGTTGTTTCTGACATAACCAGCACCTTGAACAAGACACTGCTGTGCACAGGGCTTCTGCTTCTTATTTCGAGTAAACTATATGTAATACCTACCCCCCCCCCCACCATCAAAGTGTATTTTCTTACAGAATTTCAACCTAAATAGACTGATTTACTAAACAATATGTTTTATGCTGATAAATACTTTGAGGGAAAATGTACTTGATACAATTGTGATGTGTTGTCTCACCTAGCCACCTTAAGATGAATGCACTAATTGTAAGTCGCTCTGTATAGAGCGTCTGCTAAATGACTAATGTAAAAAAATATCATTCAACCGTTACTGTGCAATATCTTTAACATTTTTGGAAGATTCCAACTATCCTTTGACTCAAGTCTCTTAACTCAACCATTATTTATAAATCGGTTAGAGACCATTCTGGACAACAAGAGGGGAATCCTCTCAGGCACTTGGCCATTCTGATGATCATTATGGCTTTGGATTTTAGGTAATTGTGTAAACTATAGTAAGTTCTTGCAATCATAACAAATATCATTACTTTTACATATGTGACAAACACTGAAAGATCCATTTGGAGAGGAAGCCCTTCATTCAATGCAACATAACAAGGTCTAATATTTGTACAAATTGACCACTTCCATTCACACATGGGGGAAGACAATTTCTGTGCACAATATAGCACCACTGTCTGTGGCTGTGCATACAGGGTGGGTAGACTGAACAAACTTCACGTCCAATTTGATGTTCATCGCTGACAGCTCTGCAACAAAGTAGCGGAAGACATACACCACAGACACCGTGTCAATGGAGTCACTTTTGCCGCACAGGGTGCAGACAGTCTTGCGGTGGCGTGTGGCTGACCAGTAGGGTGGTGGTTTCTCCAGTAGAGGGGACAGTAGGCTACCACAGTCCACACACACCTGGGCCACCGAGCGGTCAGAGCAGTTGAAGAGGCGGTCGTGAAGCAGGAAGGAGGTCCTGTGCGCCAGCAGGGCGTCGCGCTCCATCTCCCCAAAGCGGATGCCACCCTGGATGTTCCTCCCGCCCACCGCTGAGTAAGATGTCCGCCTCCAGCTCCAGGCCGCTGTAGAGGCGCTCGGTGCCGTAGTGGTTGTAGCCGGCGGCGCGTAGCATGTCGCCGAAATGCTCCAGCGCCGGAAAAGGTGAAGGGCGTGGCGTCACGGCACAGGCCGTGGAGGGCGCCCGACTTGCCGGCCATGCTCTCGATGAGCATGCCGATGGTCATGCAGGAGGCCGTGGGGGTTGAACATGATGTCGGGGGTCATGCCGCTCTCCGTGAAGGGCGTGTCCTGTGCAGGCCACAGGCGGCTCAGGATGCCCTTCTGCCCGTGGCGGCTGGCAAACTTGTCCCCAATGGTGGGGTTACGGGGCACTCGCACTGCTTGAACCGGCCCGAGCCAGCGTCGTTGCTGCACACCTTGATGTTGTCTACCACACAGCTTTCTTGACTCCTACGCAAGCGAGAGAAAACAGCACGTTATAAATTGCATTAGCAGCTGCATCTGGCCAACTCATTATCATAGAGCAGAGAAAGGCTCAAAACTATGGTATGACAATGGAAAGAACATAGTAAGTTAACTCACTTCTAGAAGTTGACAAAGCTCTGTCCGGTGTTGATGTAGCTGTAGAAGGGGTCTCCGTACTGTAGCACGGCTCCGATGGGGGGCAGACCAACAGTGTCCAGTTTGTCCATTACCTTGGGATCACCGGGTTTGACCCCAAACACCAGGTTGTCCTCGCCCTTCTTCTCAGCCAGGTCCACCACCTCTGTCTTGTAAACACAGCCGTGACCAAAGCCCCTCTCCCATGATGACTTGTTCAGGATCTGGTAGGAAAAGACTGAAACAATGAGCATTCATCTACACATTCCTTCTAAACATGCAAACACAGAATTAAATAGAACACATTCATTTATAATATACAGTGCATTCGGACAGTATTCAGACCTCTTCCCTTTTGTTACGTTACAGCCTTATTCTAAAATTTATAAAATACATTTTTGTCCTCATCAATCTACACACAATACCCCATAATGACAAAGAAAATACAGGTTTTTAGATTTTTTGGCAAATTTATAAAGAAATAAACAGAATTACCTTATTTACACAAATATTCAGACCCTTTGCTATGAGACTCGAAATTGAGCTCAGGTGCATCATGTTTCCATTGATCATCCTTGAGATGTTTCTACAACTTGATTGGATTCAACATGTGGTAAATTCAATTGATTGGACATGATCTGGAAAGGCACACACCTGTCTATATAAGGTCCCACAGTTGACAGTGCATGTTAGAGCAAAAAGAAAGCCATTAAGTCGAAGGAATTGTCCGTAGAACTCAGAGAAAGGATTGTGTCGAGGCACAGATCTGGGGAAGGGTACCAATACATTTCTGCAGCATCGAAGGTCCCCAAGAAGCTCTGTCAGGTTGAATGGGGAGCGTCGCTGCATAGGTATTTTCAGGTCTCTCCAGAGATGTTCGATTGAGTTCAAGTCAGTGTTCTGGCTGGGCCACTCAAGGACATTCAGAAACTTGTCCCGAAACGACTCCTGCGCTGTCTTGGCAGTGTCCTTAGGGTCGTTGTCCTGTTGGAAGGTGAACCTTCGCCCCAGTCGGAGGTCCTGAGTGCTCTGGAGCAGATTTTCATCTCTGTACTTTGCTCCGTTCATCTTTCCCTTGATCTTGACTAGTCACCCAGTCCCTGCCTCCTGATAAACATCCCCACAGCATGCTGCTGCCACCACCATGCTTCACGTAGGGATGGTATTGGCCAGGTGATGAGCGGTGCCTGGTTTCCTCCAGACGTAACGCTTGGCATTCAGGCCAAAGAGTTCCATCTTGGTTTCATCAGACCAGAGAATCTTGTTTCTCATGGTCTGAGAGTCTTTAGGTGCCTTTTGGTAAACTCCAAGCGGGCTGTCATGTACCTTTTACTGAAGAGTGGCTTCTGTCTGGCAACTCTACCATAAAGGCCTGATTGGTGGAGTGCTGCAGAGATGGTTGTCCTTCTGGAGGATTCGCCCATCTCCACAGAGGAACTCTGGAGCTCTGTCAGAGTGACCATCAGGTTCTTGGTCACCTCCCTGACCAAGGTCCTTCTCCCCAGATTGCTCAGTTTGGCCAGTCGGCCAGCTCTAGGAAGAGTATTGGTGGTTCCAAACTTATTCCATTTAAGAATGATGGAGGCCACTGTTGTCTTGGGGACCTTTAATGCTGCAGAAATGTAATGGTACCCTTTCCCAGATCTGTGCCTCGACACAATCCTGTCTCGAAGCTCTACGGACAATTCCTTCGACCTCATGGCTTGGTTTTTGCTCTGACATGCACTGTCAACTGTGGGACCTTATATAGACAGGTGTGTGCCTTTCCAAATCATGTCCAATAGATTGAATTTACCGCAGGTGTACTCTAATCAAGTTGTCAGAAGACCGGTTTTCGGGATGTCTCATGACAAACGCAGCTCTGTCACCGCCGATGCGCGACATCGGTGGATGCGGTGGATTGAGATGCATCCAGTGCAAAAACCCAGATATCTCTAGTATAAAGACCGATTTTGGGGGGGAATGTTATTATTATGCTATTTGGATTTCTGCGGGGGTGCGGAAATCGACTAGTTTTTTTAAATAAAATGTCACATGTTGAGCTGGGCGATATGGCCTAAAAATCATCTCTATTTTTTCAAATTTATAGGCGATTCACGATATATCTAAAAATAAAAAAAATGTTCCCTTAATAAGCTGTTGTACAATTAATGTTCAAATACACTGCATTTCAAACAGTCAGCAATAATCTAATGAATTCAGGGCGTGTGTAATTAGGCTAAATATAAGCCCCACTAATAATGTAATTATTTTATCTTGCTTTTTTGCAATAATCACTGATCTGGCTTTCAAGTCTGTATATGAAAATGCCCTTTTTGTAAAAATAAATAAAATACCAGAACTATGCATAATGCAAATTCACTAATAATAACTAACTTCTTGTAGCAGGCATTATAGAAAATTAACACAGGTCTCAAACAATCTTTCAAGCACAAGCCCACATGCTAATGAGTAGCCAGCTAATCTTTATATTTCAAGTTTAGCCAACTTCTATGTACACTACCGTTCAAAAGTTTGGGGTCACTTAGAAATGTCCTTGTTTTCGCAATTTTTTGTCCATTTAAAATAACATCAAATTGATCAGAAATACAGTGTAGACATTGTTAATGTTGTAAATGGCTATTGTAGCTGGAAACTGCTGATTTTTTATGGAATATCTACATAGTCGTACAGAGGCCCATTATCAGCAACCATCAGTCTTGTGTCCCAATGGCACGTTGTGTTTGCTAATCCAAGTTTATCATTATAAAAAGGCTAATTGATCATTAGAAAACCCTTTTGCAATTATGTTAGCACAGCTGAAAACTGTTGTGCTGATTAAAGAAGCAATAAAACTGGCCTTCTTGAGACTAGTTGAGTATCTGGAGCATCAGCAATTGTGGGTTCGATTACAGGCTCAAAATGGCCATAAACAAATAACTTCCTTCTGAAACTCGTCAGTCTATTCTTGTTCTGAGAAATGAAGGCTATTCCATGCGAAAAATTGCCAAGAAACTGAAGATCTCGTACAACGCTGTGTACTACTCCCTTCACAGAACAGCGCAAACTGGCTCTAACCAGAATAGAACGCGTGGGAGGCCCCGGTGCACAACTGAGCAAGAGGACAAATACAGTAGTGTCTAGTTTGAGAAACAGACGCCTCACAGGTCCTCAACTGGCAGCTTCATTAAATAGTACCCGCAAAACACCAGTCTCAACGTCAACAGTGAAGAGGCGATTCCGGGATGCTGACCTTCTAGGCAGAGTTGCAAAGAAAAAGCCATATCTCAGACTGGCCAATAAAAAGAAAAGATTAAGATGGGCAAAAGAACACAGATACTGGACAGAGGAAGATTGGAAAAAAAGTGTTATGGACAGACAAATCGAAGTTTGAGGTGTTCGGATCACAAAGAAGAACATTTGTGAGACGCAGACCAAATGAAAAGATGCTGGAGGAATGCCTGATGCCATCTGTCAAGCATGGTGGAGGCAATGTGATGGTCTGGGGGTGCTTTGGTGGTGGTAAAGTGGGAGATTTGTACAGGGTAAAAGGGATCTTGAAGAAGGAAGGCTATCACTCCATTTTGCAACGCCATGCCATTCCCTGTGGTGGCGCTTGATTGGAGCCAATTTCCTCCTACAACAGGACAATGACCCAAAGCACAGCTCCAAACTATGCAAGAACTATTTAGGGAAGAAGCAGTCAGCTGGTATTCTGTCTATAATGGAGTGGCCAGCACAGTCACCGGATCTCAACCCTATTGAGCTGTTGTGGGAGCAGCTTGACCGTATGGTATGTAAGAAGTGCCCATCAAGCCAATCCAACTTGTGGGAGGTGCTTCAGGAAGCATGGGGTGAAATCTCTTCAGATTACCTCAACAAATTGACAACTAGAATGCCAAAGGTCTGCAAGGCTGTAATTGCTGCAAATGGAGGATTCTTTGACGAAAGCAAAGTTTGAAGGACACAATCATTATTTCTAACCTTGTCAATGACTACATTGCCTATTCATTTTGCTATATTTCCTATTCAAACTCATTTCATGTATGTTTTCTTGGAAAACAAGGACATTTCTAAGTGACCCCAAACTTTTGAACGGTAGTGTATTTGTTAGCTAACAAGGGAGAACAGTTGAATTGTTATGAACACACCCTTCTGTCTGTCTCCAACTGTTTGAACAGCATGCTAGCCTTTCCACTTTGTTCAGATGTTGAAATCAAGTGGCCTACCTTATTTCTCAGAATGACAATGACTTGTCAATTCCTTCTATAATTGTGTTTTATGCTTTTTGCACATTTATAAAATACAGACTAGACAGCAAGTAGAACAGTCTTTGGCTAAAATGCTGGTAGCGGTACGCAGTACCGCAATGCTGCGCGCAACAAACTGAGCATTAATTTTCCTGAATCAATGTTCATTGATACTCCTGTTTTAGTAGTGTCTGCTCTGCATGCAATTTGAGTAGTTGAGAGATAAAAAGGATTTTGTTAGACAGGTTAACTTCTCTATTAGAGTAAAATAATGTCTCAATGTGTTTGTGTCCATATGACCGATTCTGTTGAACCAAACCTCAAATGCAAATAGTGAGTTGAAACCGCTTGTCAGAGAGGAAGAAGTGATCTCTCAACTTTGTTGGTGTGAGTGGCAGGGGAGGGGATTGGTGTGTGTGTAAGCAGAGGAAGAGGAGAAGTGCGAGGTTTCACTCTCGCCAAAATCTGTCCAAAATAAGCCCAATGCGTTTCTACAGGCTTATTTTTTACCGAAGCTTGTCGCCTGCCTTCCCGCCATTTGGGACTACGACTCCCATTGTTAGGGCAGCGACATGAGCATCTCGTCATTATATTCAGATCTCTGATGTAAATAGAAAAGGTGCACACAGCACAGAAGGAGCGAAAGAGACGAGACCAAAAAGACATGAGAACAAGTGGACATAAACGCTCATGAAAACTAAATTATTGCAATACAGGCATGTGGAATATCGTGCAAAAACTAATTTGAATTAATCTGATACATCGCCCTGTCCTAGTCACATGTACGTTCCTGTTCCAAATATCACTGCTTCATTTCACCTTCAGTGCAAAGCCTACGGGCAGGAAGAAGAGCTCTATCTGGTAGATGAAGTTGAGCATCACAGTCCCGTTGTCCAGGTAATGCAGGTTCATATTGATAGCTGTGTGCTCCTCCTTCACACAATGCATGGAGATACAGTGGCTTGCGAAATATTCACCCCTCCTATTATGTTGCCTTACAACCTGGAATTAAAATTGATTTTTGGGGGGTTTGTATCATTGAATTTACACAACATGCCTACCACTTTGAAGATGCTAAATATTTGTTATCGTGAAACAAACAAGAAATAAGACAAAAAAAATACTTGTGTGCATAATGGCTCTACAAAGTCAATACTTTGTAGAGCCACCTTTTGCAGCAATTACAGCTGCAAGTCTCTTGGGGTATGTCTCTATAAGCTTGGCACATCTAACCACTGGGATTTTTGCCCATTCTTCAAGGCAAAACTGCTTCAGCTCCTTCAAGTTGGATGGGTTCCGCTGGTGTACAGCAATCTTTAAGTCATACCACAGATTCTCAATTGAATTGAGGTCTGGGCTTTGACTAGGCCATTCCAAGACATTTAAATGTTTCCCCTTTCCCCTAGTGTTGCTTTAGCAGTATGCTTAGGGTCCTGCTGGAAGGTGAACCTCCGTCTCAGTCTCAAATCTCTGGAAGACAAACAGGTTTCCCTCAAGAATTTCCCTGTATTTAGCGCCATCCAGCATTCCTTCAATTCTGACCAGTTTTCCAGTCCCTGCCGATGAAAAACATCCCCACCGCATGATGCTGCCACCCCCATGCTTCACTGTGGGGATGGTTATCTCGGGGTGTTGGGTTTGCGCCAGACATAGCGTTTTCCTTGATGGCCAAAAAGTTCAATTTAATCTCATCTGACCAGAGTACCTTCTTCCATATGTTTGGGGAGTCTCCCACATGCCTTTTGGCGAACACCAAACGTGTTAACTTATTTTTTTCTTTAAGCAATGGCTTTCTTCTGGACACTCTTCCGTAAAGCCCAGCTCTGTGGAGTGTACGGCTTAAAGTGGTCCTATTGACAGATACTCCAATCTCCGCTGTGGAGCTTTGCAGCTCCTTCAGGGTTATCTTTGGTCTCTTGGTTGCCTCTGATTAATGCCCTCCTTGCCTGGTCCGTGAGTTTTGGTGGGCGGCCCTCTCTTGGCAGGTTTGTTGTGGTGCAATATTCTTTCAATTTTTTAATAAAGGATTTTAAAATGGTGCTCCATGGGATGTTCAAAGTTTTGGATATTTTTTTATAACCCAACCCTGATCTGTACTTCTCCACAACTTTGTCCCTGACCTGTTTGGAGAGCTCCTTGGTCTTCATGGTGCTGCTTGCTTGGTGGTGCCCCTTTCTTAGTGGTGTTGCAGACTCTGGGGCCATTCAGAACAGGTGTATATATACTGAGATCATGTGACACTTAAATAAAGTCTACCTGTGTGCAATCTAACTAATTATGTGACTTCTGAAGGTAATTGGTTGCACCAGATCTTATTTAGGGTCTTCATAGCAAATAGGGTGAATACATATGGACGCACCACTTTTCCGTTATTTATTTTGTATAATTTTTTGAAACGAGTTTTTTTTTTCATTTCACTACACCAATTTTGACTATTTTGTGTATGTCCATTACATTAAATCCAAATAAAAATCAATTTAAATTACAGGTTGTAATGCAACAAAATAGGAAAAACACCATGGGGATTAATCCTTTTTCAAGGCACTGTACCTGGGGAGACATAGCTTTATAATATGCCATTTAGCAGACGCTTTTATCCAAAGCGACTTACAGTCATGTGTGCATACATTTTTACATATGGGTGGTCCTGGGGATCGAACCCACTACCCTGGCGTTACAAGTGCCGTGCTCTACCAATTGAGCTACAGAGGATCAAGGTGATAGAATTGTGATAATGAGGGTGGCAGGTAGCCTAGCGGTTAAGAGTGTTGGGCCAGTAACCGAAATGTCGCTGGTTCGAATCCCAGAGCCGACTAGGTGAAGTCTGTCGATGTGCCCTTGATCAAGGCGCTTAGCCCCAATTACTCCTGTAAGTCGCTCTGGATAAGAGCGTCTGCTAAATGACTCAAATGTAAATGTAAAATCAATGTTAAGACTACTTACAGTAGGCTATGTGTCTTAACTACTCCAACACTGCAGTGTTCAGCTCGTACATAAACACCCTCCACATACTGTACATTAACTGCCTTACTTGCCATACTGAGTGTATCCCTGGCCTCTGTTCTTCCACTTGGGTCTTGACATAGCAATAGGGTAGTTCCTCCTTGGCATGATCAGCATGTGAATAACCTTCTCGATCCCATTCCAATAAAATAACCACCCATTTCCTGTTTCAATGAGGATAGAGAGAGCGGTAGAGAAAAGGAGAGATATTGAAATGTAAAGAAGCATGTAAAGTTAGACATAAAATGTGCCTTAATATCTGCTTTGAAGCACAAATTATCAGATTGACTAGTTCCCACAGATGTGCTGTGGGGTAGGAAGCATGCCATTCTCCTACCACAGCCTCCTCGTGGTGCTCAATGAGCTCTTTGGGAGGGAGCCCATGCAGGTTACGCAGCCTAGACTTCACCATGATGGGCACCTGGCCCAGGGACTGCTTGATGATGCCTTTGGGAATCCCATTCACGGACCAGCTGATGTCTGTCTGTGAAGAATCAAAGCACTAAACTTTAATTCATCACAATGTGCAAGTGTTGAGATTGTAGATAGACCTTGTCTTGACAGTCATATACAGTACAATCCGGATTAGCTCTCGAAAACCCTTCTTATTATCTGTAGGGTTTTCAGCGGTTAGCGTCGACCACAGTTGGCTGAGTGTGAAGTACAATTCCGACGTTGTGTTTTAACGTTTAGAAACGTCAATAATCATCGCTTGCAAAACAGTTTTTGAAACCTATGCTGATATGTCCCTTATCTTACATATCAGCAAGAAATAATATTTCAAATAAAAAATACTGTTGCAGTTTTGCACAGATCCATACACTGTGTTCCTCCAGTTGAAGAACTACAATTCCTCCCCAGTTATAGGCAATATAGTTAGAAGCTCAGGTAGCTTTTAATGTCAAACATCAGCAGCTTGACAGCCTATACAGTAGAAGGGTAAGAATAATGTGCAGACTTAATTCGTTTGAAAAACGATTTATCTTGCCCTAAAACCCACAGGCCTTGACTACATCAGAAATCACCTAGACACCGACTTGGATGATGTCACCAGCGCAAACAGCGGCCTCTCTGATGAAGACGACTTCTTTGCATCCATGGAGTTGGGAAAATCACAAGTAGGAGAGCTGGAGAGGTACCGTTCATGTCTGTCCCCTGCAGGTATGGATCTACTCCACACCTTTCCTCGCATCAAGAAGCTGTCACTCAAAGTCAACACAGGTCTTCCTGCATCTGCAGCCTGTGAGAGACTTTTCAGTCATGCAGGACTCCTGTTCACTGCTAAACAATCACAGCTTCACAGCAAGAACCTTGAGAGCCAGCTACTGTTGAAGCTTAATAGTGACATCACTGAGTGATTCTTTGGTGAAATAGTTTCTTTCTGCATGTTTTGACACACACAGACACACACACACTCCCAGTGGGGCCTTCAATATAAAAGGGTTTTCATGTTACTGTGCCAAAGAGTTCCTGGAGTGTTGACTCCAGTCAACCAGTCAAAGGGCCAGTGTCAGCCTAAAGGTTAGAATATTGCCAAATCTGTTGTCTGTCTGTGGGAGTCTAGATTGGGGAAGCTGCTTTTGAGGTGCTTTGAGCAAAGCGTTTAATCCCCTTAACTGTGTAATGGCTGTGCTAGAGAGCGCAGAGCTATGAATGTATAACTCCATTGTAAAGACACATCATACATGCTTTTTTTTTGTAGGGGGGGGGGGGGGGGGGGGGGGGGGGACTTTTTTTGTTAGATATTGGAACTGGAAGTAAACATAATGCCCCATCTACAACTACATCACTCTCCTCTGATGCCTTTTAGAGAACATGCATTCAGCTTAATTTGTGTTCTGGGATACTAGGCCTGCAATATTGTTTTATTTGGCCATCTATCATGGACTGGTGCTTTTTCAGTTGATGTGTACTGCTGCTCTTTTCCTCTGCTCAGTGAGATGTGCAGTGTGGCCTAATCACAGATCAGAGTATTAATTTATAGGCACACGGAAAAAGGGCTGTTGCTTGCCATGCAATACAAAGGTACTGAGTAGGCCTAATCAACACCTATTGATTATTTTACGTTGACCGCTTCCTTCTGGTGTGCAGTTTTCTGTTTAGCATGCCTGGTATGAAATGTTTGTGTGTTTCCTTCTGTTGTTCTGTCACTGTGGAGACACTGTGGAGACACACACACACAGTTTATGAGAGTTTATGGGCTGCCTCGTTCTAGTTCTGCCTGGTAAAAAAGTATAAAGGTTTGGAAATTTGTGTTACTTGTGCTTATTTATTTTTTATTATTTTATTTATTTTATTTTTTAAGTACTTGAATTTACCTGAATTATTTTAATTTAAGCTATTTTGTAATTAATTTTAATTTATTTTATTGATTGGATGAACTATAATTTGCCTAAAGATGATTATTTTGTATTTTTGTCTGTCTGATCGTTGTCTTGTGTTAAAAAATAAATCAGACGTTACTCAACAGTTACTCAGTACTTGAGTAGTTTTTTCACCAAGTACTTTTTTACTCTTACTCAAGTAATTATTTGGATGACAACTTTTTACTTTTACTTGAGTCATATTATTCTGAAGTAACAGTAATTTTACTTGAGTACAATTTTTGGCTACTCTACCCACCTCTGGTGGTTGGGTCTGCAGGCAATCTTACCACAAGCTTTCCGCGGTAGGAGCAGCGTCTCCCTCTGCTGGGAACACCCTCAGGTCCGGGCAGATGCGCCCTTTGACCACCACTGGTTTATAGATGGTGGCCTCCACAAACGCCAAGCTGATGCGGTCATTTCTAAACATAAACTCCAAGGGAGGGATGGCCTGAAAAGGAAAATGGAACACAAACATTTCACATTAACTCAACATCTAACCCCATGGTTTTGTATGACAGACACGAACTTTAACAAAGTTCCTGCAGTGATGTAACTAAGCAAACTAGAACACATTGAACAACAGCTCAAAGACGGAAGTGAACAGTAATTGTGGCAGATTTTGTGGTGTACTGGAAAGAATGACAGCAAGTTGAATGGAAGTCCTAAAAAAGTATTAAATTAAAGACAATCAGCTAGGTAACATTAACTAGGTCACTCTCGCAAATACATATCAGTGACTTCCTCGAACAAAACCAACATTTTGTTTTCTTACGTTGGTGCTTCAGGACACTCATATCAGTAGGCCTAACTATTGTATTAGTTAACCGCTAACGTTAGCTACTTAAAACATTGTGGCATGGCTTACACAGCACTGACTTTCCCACGTGAGAGTTCCCACTGCACCTAACGTTACCTGCACAGCACGACACAGACCATCTGAAACTGCTTGGTCAAACGACTCAATATGAGCCTTCGTTAGGTCCTGAACAGCGGCATGTCGTTTTTCCTTAGGTATGCCAAAACCTGGTTCTGTTACATTTTTAAGGCTTGGACTTGTTGGTAAACCACTCCACTTCGCCGCAAAATCCATGCTTTTTCTTGTTTACCACATGCGCATAGTGACCGAGGAAGTACACTCGTCGTAACAGGAAGTGACTGAAAGGTCAAGTAATTTAAAGTGGCAGCTTGCAATTTTCTGATAAATCAGTGAGTGAGCTATCAAACAAAATCCAAACTGTCTTTTTGAAAGTGATGGTATTAGTTTGGTTGACTATTCATAGAAGTGAGAAATATGTTGAGAGAAATTGAATGACCAGTATCAAAGATCATTTACACCTGTAACCAAATAGCTAGAGTTCTATATATATCAGATCTCAGTGGCTCTATGTATTGATTTTGGCCAAGTTCGAGAGCATCACAACTGTGATGTATTATGGGTAAATTGTGACTGACATTGATAATATTGAATCGTTATTTATGCGAGATGATTTGTAGATCAGTCAGTCTCGACTAGCCTTTAAAGTCGGCTGCAATGTGGAACACACCCTTTGTGTCAGTGGGCTATTGCTGAGTCAGCATGACTGTCATTCAGTTGGTTAAGTCAATGTTGGCAATTATGTACAAAAAAATTATGCTACAATTTCTATATGATTTTCTTTCATGTTATATCTAGTGTACATCCCTGGGTCTTATATCAGTTTACACCACAAGCGATGTCAGGAGATTCACATCAACGATACATTTTATTCTACATGATATTATTTTATACAAACAAGTTTTCATGCAAGAGTTTGAGAAACATTAGCTAAAGAAAACACAACATAGGCATTCCTCTGACTACATACAGTTCAGTAAAATCTTGTTGACTGGAGGAGAACTTAACATTTCAAATGTGCCAATGTTGCTGTTATGTCTTATATGGATTTCTTTCTTCTTGGCTGCCTTGGTTTGTGAAAATGTTTGATAATGACCGATTTAAGTTGCAATCTGCAACTTCATTGTCTCCCATGGCAATGGTGGTACACTCAAAGGAAGTTACAGATAGCTCTTTAAAGGCTTTGAAATACCTAAAACCCACATATTCATAGATAGAGAAGTATTACTAAGGGGGAAAATAATGACATTGACTTTAGACATACAAGCAAGTTTTCTTTGGTAAGAAATAGGAATTCATAAAATACAATGATGAATAATCAGGTAAATAAAAATGGGAAAAGTTAATTGCAAATAAACTGAGGAGAACCAGATGTTACAAAAGATTGTTAATTGTTCAATCTTTTGTGATTGTTCAAACAGTCACACAGACCAGATAGCAATAGCCAAATGTATCTCTTTACAATCAAACAAATGAAAGGTGCATTTATATGCAGGTCTATTGCTTCTTCCAAACATCAAGAGGCAATTCCCACTAAGGCACCCCTTCCCTTTGATTGAAAGACATTTCCCTAATTTTGATAATAATACTGATAATTGTCATTGGATGATTTCCAATGTGTTGAATAATACAGTTTAGCTCTTTAAAAAAATACAAAAATAATAATCTAGAAACAAACCCCTTTTTATGCCCCTCTGATATACAATCTAACCGAACATTCAACCGCAAATACTTTATAATATAATGAATAGCCATTGTATGCTTTGACCATTTGTATATCAAATAGATTATATTTTAGCAGTTTTTCACTTGTCCGTACTTCATTCCCCATAACAATCTTGTAAACATAAGATAGTGATTAAAATATATGTGCCAATGTTGTCCCTTAAGTGGTGTTTCACTCAAAACATGTTGAAGCATAACCTCAACTACAATATTTGAAAATGTGTGATAATGAAGAGAAGAGGTAGTGGTTAAAGGGGAAATCTGCAGTTGTACCCATTGATTCTTGAATAATATAACTTGTACATGCCTCATGAGCTTAGCTCAACTGCCGTACCCCATCAGAACCCAAAATACACTATATATACAGAAGTATGTGTACACCCCTTCAAATTAGTGGACTTTGCTATTTCAGCCACATTCGTTGCTGACAGGTGTATAAAATTGAGCACACAGCCATGCAATCTCCATAGACAAACATTGGCAGTAGAATGGCCTTACTGAAGAGCTCAGTGACTTTCAACGTGGCACCGTCATAGCATGCCACCTTTCCAATAAGTCAGTTCGTAAAATGTCTGCCCTGCTAGAGCTGCCCCGGTCAACTGTAAGTGCTGTTATTGTGAAGTGGAAACGTCTAAGAGCAACAATGCCTCAGCCTTGAAGTGGTAGGCCACACAAGCACACAGAACGGGCCCGCCGAATGCTGAAGCGTGTAAAAATCGTCTGTACCTCGGATGCAACACATACTACCGAGTTCCAAACTGCCTCTGGAAGCAACGTCAGCACAATAACTGTTCATTGGGAGCTTCATGAAATGGGTTTCCATGGCAGAGCAGCCGTACACAAGCCTAAGATCACCATGCGCAATGCCAAGCGTTGGCTGGAGTGGTGTAAAGCTCGCCGCCATTGGACTCTGGAGCAGTGGAAACGTGTTCTCTGGAGTGAAAAATCACGCTTCACCATCTGGCAGTCCAACAGACGAATCTGGGTTTGGCGGATGCCAGGAGAACGCTACCTGCCCAAATGCATAATGCCAACTGTAAAGTTTGGTGGACGAGGAATAATGGTCTGGGGCAGTTTTTCATAGTTCAGGCTAGGCCCCATAGTTCCAGTGAAGGGAAATCTTAATGCTACAGCATACAATTACATTCTTGACAATTCTGTGCTTCCAACTTTGTGGCAATGGTTTGGGGAAGGCCCTTTCCTGTTTCAGCATGACAATGCCCCTGTGCACAAAGCAAGGTTCATACAGAAATGTTTTGTCGAGATCGGTGTGAAAGAACTTGACTGGCCTGCACAGAGCCCTGACATCAACCCCATCGCACACCTTTGGGATGAATTGGTACACCGACTAATTTCCCAACATCAGTGCCTGACCACACTAATGCTCTTGTGGCTGAATGGAAGCAAGTCCCAGCAGCAATGTTCCAACATCTAGTGGAAAGCCTTCCCACAAGAGTGGAGGCTGTTATAGCAGCAAAGGCGGGACCAACTCCATATTAATGGCCATGATTTTGGAATGAGATGTTTGACGAGCAGGTGTCCACATACTTTTGGTCATGTAGTGTATAAGCTTGGTTTACTCCAATATTTGTAAACAAAGTAAATGTAAACAAACACTAGCCTATATAGCCTCAAAACATGGTAAAAACTATAATGTTGATATCATGGATGGTCAGTCCTTGCATCCATAGCTCTGTCTATGAATTTGAGAGTAGTTACATTTTTCCAGCCCCATCCCTTAGCTTTTTACTGAAACAGAAGCGCTTTGTTATTGTTTCAACTGCGGATTGCCCCTTTAAAGGACTAACTAATACTTAAAACAAAGTTTAACATATGCCAAAGTAACTTAATCTAAGAGTTAACTGTGGGTGATAATGCTACAAAGCCTCTGTAAACTGAATGTGGTCAGGTGGTCAACACTGAATATTACAGTTTAACACAAACAGACAAGGGCAGGGAAAACTACTTTTTAGCATGCAGGTATCACAACTCCACGTAATATCATGGAAGCTGTGCAACACCATAACCGACAGCATTAGTAGTCTAAAAATACTTTTAAAATAAAAATAAAAACTTACATTGACAAAGTAGTTTGTGGGGTTGAAGCTACTACATTTACTACAGGTTTTAAGGAAGCAAGCAAAAACTAACAAGACATTCACTTTCTATGAAACAGACCATTTTAAAGGCAGCTCTTGGCTAAGAACTCTCAGTATTAGAGGCAAAAGGGGAGAGTGGGCCTACTTGCATTAGGACACACAACAGACACTGTAACATGCTTCCACACCAACATGCAATCTCTCTTAAAATCACAAACAAAAATGGATCTACAGCTGTAGTGGAGATCCCCATGCGTAACCTTTAGAAGGTTCAAATGGGTTGAAATGTTCTGAAGTTGCAAAGCTAGTCTCAAATTAACAGGGGAGGTTTATCTCTAGTCATTCCACAAATGCTCTTTGTTGACAGAGAAAAAGGAGTCATCTGTCTAGGAATCTTTTCTTATACAGTGTGAATGAACAACAGACTTAAACAACACTGACTAAATGAACTTGAATAAAAGTCTGTCAAAAATTGAAGACCTAACACTACACAGCGTGCATGGAATAATAGCTATCAAATAGCTATAATACAATTTCAGTAGCAATAAAATGTAGCCTAATTTCTGATTTAATCCTCTTTTAAATTACAGTACAAAACTCTCTGGGGCTTTGTGAATAACCATGATATGAAGTATGCCTATAATCAACGTTTTTTCCCCTCACAATGCTAACTTTTGTGGATAAAATCCAAAAATCTCCAAACCCAGAGAAAGAAACTAGCCCACACAGACATACACACTTGCCTGACCGACAATACACAGGCTCACATAACACACACAGTAGCAGAGGCGCTATGCTAAATCGACAGGTTGCACCTTTAAGGGGGTATGGGTGGAGATGTAAGGCACTAAAGTCTGTATAATAAGTGAAGCGTCCCCTCCATCTTCAGAGGTCGTCCATACACAGTCTAGGGGCGCCTCAGTGGCAGCACGGGATCACAAGGGCATCTATTCTTGTTCTGGGACCCCCAAATACGTCATCAGTCAGTCTGTCGCCCATTTATCTTAATCATCATCACCATCCGAACATTCACCAAGTCTCCACACATTCATATACTGCATGCCTGTTCAGGCTTTCCTCTGAAATGCACTTCCGCTGTGGGGTATGGGAGAGAAGACTGTGGTAGCACATACGAGAAAGTAACACAATCTTCAGTCAATCACAAGGGTAATCCCCTTCGAGACAAAACTTGCCATGCAAGAACCAATGAGATGGCAAAGCTTCCTGGCCTGTGGGACATCTCGGGAAAAGCGTAGGAGTGAGGAGCAGAGGGCGGAGGTTGGAACTTTTGAAGCAGAGGAGGAGGGACTTACAATCGGGTGAATGGGCCCACGTGGAGGGGTCCTCTCAGTTTCGGAGAGGAACAGGATGAGGTAAGAGTGGAAAAGGAGGGGGAGGAGTAAGGAGCAGGGGAGGAGGAAGATGATCGTGGTTCGGAATCATTGTTCAGTGGGAAGACACTGGAGATGGCTACGTCCACGATCCCTTGGCATAGCTCCGGGTAGAGTTTCCTAGAGGAAGGAGAGATAACAGTGCAATTAATAAGATGCCCCTTAAATCAGGCTTAGATTATACCGGGAAGAATGAATGATTCAAAGGACAATTTTACAAGCACATTTAGGTTCACCAGGAAGTCAGCGATCCAAAGACAAAACATTAATTAAGCCTAACATGGGAGGTTATCATAGCCCTCTCAGCTTTGGACAATGAAACAAACATTTTCAAAATAACTTAAACTAGCGTGAACTAACAAATAAATAACTGCCGGTCGGTCTGAGTAGAACAGAGCACACGCCATGCACAGGACTCAGGGCTCATTTGAGATAAATGGCAAATAATTAAATCACATTGTCTCACACTTTAATTTGGGAGTGAGGCCCTTTACTCTGAATGCAAAATGTAATGGAAAAATAATAAAAGGGGAAGTAAGGTGTAGGCCCTTTTGTGAAAATAAGAGTTGAACAAAAATGGTATGAATAAAATGTCATGAAAAACCTGCAACAGTATAACAGACGTAAAGAGAGGATGAACCAACTGAGTGCAGGCAAGAGGAAGATGATGAAGAGGAAGATAGAGACAGCAGGTAGAAATAGGCTATAAATACAGTACATTCGCAAATTGTTCAGACCCCTTGATTTTTTCCACATTTTGTTACGTTACAGCCTTATTCTAAAATGGATTAAATCGTTTTTTCCCCCTCATCAATCTACACACAATACCCCATAATGACGAAGCAAAAACAGGTTTTTATAATTTGTTGTACATTTATTTTAAATAAAAATCTGAAATATCACATTTAGATAGTATTCAGACCCTTTACTCAGTACTTTGTTGAAGAACCTTTGGCAGCGAATACAGCCTGAAGTCTTCTTGGGTATGATGCTACAAGCTTGGCAAACCTGTATTTGGGGAGTTTCTCCCATTCTTCTCTGCAGATCCTCTCAAGCTCTGTCAGGTTGGATGGGGAGCGTCGCTGCACAGCTATTTTCAGGTCTCTGCAGAGATGTTCGATCGTGTTCAAGTCCGGGCTCTGGCTGGGCCACTCAAGGACATTCAGAGACTTGTCCCGAAGCTACTCCTGCGTTGTCTTGGCTGTGTGCTTAGCGTCGTTGTCATGTTGGAAGGTGAACCTTTGCCAGAGTCTGAGGTCCTGAGCGCTCTGGAGCAGGTTTTCATCAAGGATCTCTCTGTACTTTGCTCCGTTGATCTTTCCCTCGATCCTGACTAGTCTCCCAGTCCCTGCCGCTGAAGATAATCCCCACAGCATTATGCTGCCACCACCGTGCTTCACCGTAGGGATGGTCAGAGTTTCCTCCAGACGTGACGCTTGGCATTCAGGCCAAAGAGTTCAATCTTTGTTTCATCAGACCAGATAATATTGTTTCTCATGGTCTGAGAGTCCTTTAGGTGCCTTTTGGCAAATTCCAAGCGGGCTGTCATATGCCTTTTACTGAGGAGTGGCTTCCGTCTGGCCACTCTACCATAAAGGCCTGATTGCTGGAGTGCTGCAGAGATGGTTGTCCTTCTGGAAGGTTCTCCCATCTCCACAGAGCAAATCTGGAGCTCTGTCAGAGTGACATCGGGTTCTTGGTCACCTCCCTGACCAAGGCCCTTCTCCCCTGATTGCTCAGTTTGGCCGGGCGGCCAGCTGTAGGAAGAGTCTTGGTGGTTCCAAACTTCTTCCATTTAAGAATGATGGAGGCCACTGTGTTCCTGGGGACCTTCAATGCTGCAGACATTTTTTGGTGCCCTTCCCCAGATCTGTGCCTCGACACAATCCTCCCTCGGAGCTCTACGGACAATTCCTTCGACCTCATGGCTTGGTTTTTGCTCTGACATGCACTGTGGGACCTTATATAGACAGGTGTGTGCCTTTCCAAATCATGTCCAATCAATTGAATTTACCACAGGTGGACTCCAATCAAGTTGTAGAAACATCTAAGGATGATCAATGGAAACAGGATGCACCTGAGCTCAATTTCGAGTCTCATAGCAAATGGTCCGAATACTTATGTAAATAAGGTATTTCTGTTGTTTATTTGTAATACATTTGCAAAAATGTCTAACAACCTGTTTTCGCTTTGTCGTTATGGGCGTGTGTAGATTGAGGAGGGAAAAAAACATTTTATCAATTTTAGAATAAGGCTGTAACGTAACAAAATGTGGAAAAAGGGAAGGGGTCTGAAAACTTTCCAAATGCACTGTATATGTATATGACCACTAGGAGGAGAAGGACATAAAATAGTACTGACTGTGCGCAGGCCGGAGCTCCATTGATCTCGATCAGCCACACCTTGAAGCTCTCGTCCACCATGAAGTCAAATCCAAAGAGCTGGAAGCTCTGATAGGACAAGTGCCTAGTGCTGATGGCTGGCTCAATGCATGTCAAACAGCTCCTAGGAGACCAGACAGAACCACCATTGTCAGGAGTCTAAGTAGAGTAGTTGTGTAGCAAATCCCTGTACATAGCTATTTGTAGAACTATGTATGTTAGGGAAAGGTCATATTTGCAAGGTCATCTGACAAAAAAGGGTATCTTTCCATCTTCAATTAAGTAAACACAAACATCACAGCATAGGACAGGAAAAGAAGTAGCTACCTTATGATCTGCTTGATCTGAGGTAAAACGCTGGTCTCCAGTGCTATGTTGTGGGTGCTCAGCAGGTACTGCCGGAACTCATCGAAGAACATCTCGTTGCCCTCCTCGTAGCGGCCGTAGTTCTGTGAGTGCTCTTTCTGGATGCAGTGGTTAGTCAGGTGGCTGGTCATGTCCTGGAAGTTGGAGCTGTTGTAGGGCTCTGACGCCGTCCGCAGCACACCCTCCCGGTAAAGGTAGATGTTGTACTGATGGTCCACGAGCACCCAGCTCCTAAGAACAACAGCAAACCCGCAGAGTCAGAGACTACTGGGCAAAACACCAGCGATAACATTGCTTCTGTTACTATTCCTGAATTGTGTATTATAAGGCTATATGTTATTTTGTTGGTAAGAAATATGTAATAAACACACTAGATGTGCAATCACTCACAAAAATATTAGTATCAGCTGCTTACCTGATGTCAAATTTACGGTTGCCAGGTTGCAGCAGTAGTGGTCTTTCTAGGTACTTCTGAATGACATGAACCTGCCCTTGATTATCAATGAACTCCAGCAATTGATTTGCATCGTGGGATATCAAAATTCCAGCACCTGGAACAAGAAAACCAAGCCAAGCCTCATCTTTGTATACAATCCTTGGTAAACATATTTTGCCAACAAAGAGTTTGTAACTCCCTGGATAGTCCAAGGAAACTTCCAAAAACATGAGGCAACCATTAGCTTAAAAAGAGAGATTCTTTAGGCAACAATACTATCATATTTCCCCCATAGTGCCCAATGACTACAGTAAAACAGTATCTAGCAGTACCAGCTGTCAATAGAAACCCAAGCCTTCAGACGTGATGATTGGGATGTACCTTTTGCTCCAGAAGATGACTTGGCGATCCACACTGTTCCCTCTCCACTTTCCTTCCTTGAGTGATAAGAGGCCAGGAAAACTTCTCTTTCATCTGTCTTGGGGTTACTTTTCAGGTGGCTGATGCCATTCTTTGCAGGAGCGACGGGGGTGTTGAGGTTAGTAGGATAGATGATGTAGGATTCAGGCAACCAGTTGCTGGGGTCTGGAAGCTCTGGGCTAGTCTTGATTAACCTGCACAATGTAAAGAAAGACAATATTGATGATATTTACAGCATCAGTGTGAATTACAGTGAAAAGTACAGTATCAGAGTGAACATTATTACACAAACCTTTTCAATACCAAAGTTCAAATACCTACTTGACTAAAGATGCTTTGCGGCACAACTTGTCTGCTCCTCTGTAATAATTCACTAATTGCATCAGTCCTGGCTCATGACCTATGGAGGATAAACAAACACATGCAAAAAAAAGTGATGACAATAGGGTGGAGTAAACACAGGAAAGCATTTTGCACGTGTCTGGTCCATTTCCCTCTCGGTGGTCAAACTTCAACGTGTCCAATAGGGCCTACTTGTGGCATCCTCTTACTCATCCGCAGAGGATGTGATTCAGTGACCAAGGATGCATGTGGATACAGTGATGTCACCAGGATAAGGTTTAAATGTTGTAAACGAAGTAGCCAATAGAGTCTAGACTATAGGCTCCAGGATAGTCAAGCCCAAAATATGAATCATAAAGTGAAACAGGGGTGGGCCACGAATCAATAATTAAGGAACATTATCAGTGGTATAAGGGAGTAACTTTCTTATACATTGCATAATGCAGAAAATGCAGCTGTCCACCTTAGACTCCCAATAAGGAGGCTGGGATCGATGCAGTGAGTGCCATAATAGCACTGGTGGAGTGTGTGTATCAACTATGGGCCTCCATCATAGCTCTACATAAGCTGTTTCATGCGACACAATTCATGGGTTCAACTTGAGGGTGAGAACAAGAATATTGATACTCCAACAAAAGGTATTCAAAGCAAGCAAGACCATTTACTGAGTATGCCAAAAGTGCTACTCTTACCAAGCCGTCCAAATGGCAGTCTGTTCCGTTCGCCGAACATCAAATTGAATCGGGGATTATCCCTTTTCAGTCTCTTCCATTGTCCAGTTGCGACGAGAATTTTGGAAACTTCAGCATATATGGTGCTGTTGTCGTCTCTTGCGACAAATGTATACATCGGTGCATTCATATTACAACAATATTATATGTGCAAAAGCACACAACAAAACGAATTATTAGCTAGCTAGCGCAGGTGTAGCTAGTGAATTTAGCAGACTGGCTGGCAAGCGCTATCTCGCGGACGGCTGTGTCTGTGGCATGATGATGAGACAGTCATATCCAGGTTCTAAAAAAAAGTGCTTCGCGTGTTCTTGCTGCTAGTGAATGTCTTTCATGATCACAAAAGTCCTAACTACTTCATGTTGCATGACTCTGGTCTAACGTTACATTTCAGCCATGGGTGCCGGATTAGGGTGTGACTGACTAACGTAACGTTACTTGGTCCCACGTCTGGCTGAGATCCTCTGGCTGAGATCCTCAGGCTTGTCCTCTCTGGCTTGCTAGCTAATGTTACGTTGCTATCTAAGTTGCTGTCGTTTACTGGTAGCTGAATATATTTCTTAATTGTTGTTTAATTGGTTATCTATGTAAACTGCTACTTTCCTAAGATATTTGTTGTTTAACTTGGGAGGGGAAAAACGACCAATGATAAGAAATTAAAATGTTCCTGTAACGGTTATGTTAAGGAGCTTTCATGACAACTCGGAACTCGAAAAATAAGAGCTAAAATCATGACGTCAGTGATGTTCAGGTCGGAAATAAGGAGCTCTAGAAAGATGCCCGATTTTTTAAATTGGAAATCCGACTTCGATGACGGTTCAAAACGATTGTTCCCAGACGGAGCTCGTTTTTTCCCCCGGAGTTCCCAGTGGTCTTGAACGCGCTGGAGTAAATTGGAGACTTCCGAGTTCCCAGTTGTGGTTATTGTAGTCTTTATATTCTGGTACCTCACTTAAGGTGATCAAATGAAATACCTTCTTAAGAGTAAAAAGCAACAGTTAAATGTTAATTTTTTTATTTCAACGGTATATTTCCTCATCGTAATGGCATAGCAATTCATAACAACGGCAATTTCGGTATAACGGAAATGTTGATATCCTGCATATCCCCGATATCCCGGTGCGGACCCCCCTTCTTAAAAGGGTCCTCGCGCTCAGTATCTATATGGACAGCCCTGCCCAAATTGTTGATGTGTCGCGCAGCTGAGAGTCCAGTGTGGAGAGTGAGACCACTGAGCTATAGACAGGTTTTTGACATTTTAGTCATTTAACAGACGCTCTTATCCAGAGCGACTTACAATGAGTGAGTGCATACATTTTTCATACTGACCCCCCGTGGGGTTGTTAAACAACAAAACCGACGTGTGCGCAACTATGGGGCAAAACAGACAGGGTTGGCTTAGATTGTTGACAACAATCAATGTTTATTGAAAAAGCAATAGGAGGACAGGCTCATTGTAATGGCTGGAATGGAATCAATTGAACCGTATCAAACACATGAAACATATGGAAACCATGTGTTTGACTCCGTTCCATGGAGTCCCACACCAGCAGTGTCCTGATGAGCCCTTCCCAGTTAGTTTATATGCTGGCCACAACAACAATATGGTGCTAGTTAAAACCTGTAAAATAAAGTGATGTTCACCATCTGGATTTGGTCACCATCTCCAATTGCAGTCTACACGAGAAATAACTTGTAGGCTAATATTGGTAGTAACCATATGGATGTCACGTGATACAGTCTACACCGCTCAATTGGGAGAGTTTGCGCTGCAAGCCGGCAACACAACAACACTGGGCACAGTGTCCTTCGCTCCGCTTGCCGCAGTAAAGAGAGGGAAGTAGCTAGATAGTTTAGCCAGGCCAGGTTGACAGCTAAAGCACATTTATTGAAGTGATTTTCACATAAATGTACAACTACGGCATTAACGTCTAACGTTAAATTTTTGTAAATAATGCTGAGCGATTAGTGTTTTTCTAGGTTGTTCGGTTTTGGTTCGATTATTCAAAAATAATCACGGTTTTCGATTTTGATAATTTTTAAAAATGTTAAATGCATTATGAAAGAATGACATTAACATATTTTTTTTTCTCCTTTATAATGGAAATTCCAAAGCCAAAAATAGTGAACATTCAATTGCCAAAACATTGAAAATATTCCATTGTCTCTGTCAGGTCCACATTGGGTAAAAATCAATAGAAAAATAGGACATTACTATGAAATAATAAAATATTTCAGTTGTGTATATTAGTTTGAGTTTATTTATTCTTGCTCACAGATAAAACTGAAGAAATGCTGAATTTACATTACTAATAATTGCAAAACACTCATTTAAAAGATTTACTTGACATAAATAGAATACAGAACACTTGAAACATTACAATACATTTTTCATGATGGAAATTGAAATATTAAAATGTGATTGTAAAAAATATAATTTTTAGGAAAACCATTTAAGAGCTAGAGTTATTATACAGTAGTTTTGATCATCTCATCTCTGCTAAGGCTAGCAGCCAAAAAGCCAGACAACGTTATCTCTGTACTCCCCATACTGTTCTGTCTTTAATCATCCTATTTAGCCAGGCTAGCTGCAGAGCTGTCTGACTAAATCATTTTACTAGTTCTTCAAAGAAGTTAAGGCATACTTTCACGAATAATTTTTAGTCATTTAGCAGACGCTCTTATCCAGAGCGACTTACAGTTAGTGCATCATTTTTTTCTTCTTCATACTGGCCCCCCGTGGGAATCGAACGCACAACCCTGGCGTTGCAAGCGCCATGCTCTACCAACTGAGCTACACGGGACTAATAACGACTCATTATTATTTGTAGATCAGTATCAGTCACAGTTTACCCATGATACGTTGCAGTTTTGATCCTCTCGAACACGGCCGGTGTCATGGCAACGTTTGCTAGCTAATGCCAAATATTTTTTTCTAACTAAACCAAGATAGACCACAGCCTGTCGTTTCCAACGGGAACAAATTAGTCATATTGGGCAGAACAAGCAAGGAGGTGGGCAGAGCAAACCACGAGCTAGCGAGATCCTATTGGCGGGTTTTAGCATACATCTGCATATTTCCGTTAGGGAACGCCTACTCAGAAGTGCGCGTGTGCAATAACTAAATTCGCCTAAAAAACAACGCGATTTTTAAAAACTTTTGCAAAGGGTAAAGTCTGCAAAACTTTGTCCACTCTGTTCATAACATATTCACATTTTAGGAACAGAAAACTGTATTGAGATCAAATGTTTCATCGATGACAAAGTTTGCAGAATATCGGCCAAAATCCATATCGTTCCATCTTCTCCCACTCCGCCAGTGGGCTTCCTCATATTTGGTAGTGAGTGGAAATGCCAAGCGGATGCTTCACATTTATACATCCGGTGAAATATCTGTCTCATTGTTCTAGCTGAACTAGGAAACTCTGAAATGTCTGACTTGCTGATTCGTTGAACGTGTATAACTACAAGCAGTTAGCAAGTCGAACATTTCAGAGCTTCCTAGTTCCGACTAGTACAAAAGCAGTCGTCACTAGTTACCACAGCCACAAATTCAACCAACCGGCTTGCAGGGGCAGACGAGAGATGCATTTCTTGTATCTAGTGATCCATCAATGATTTTGTTATTTGTTAGCTATAATAAAACCAACCATTCTAAATGCAAAGTGATAATCGATGTCTTATTCAAACTTAGCTTGCAAGTTTATCATGATGTTTGCCCTTACTCATAGTAACTTGTCTTAACCCAAAATACTGTAGGTTTAAGTGGCTCTTTCCTTGTAGAATGTTGACAGCTGTATAGAACACATTGTATTGCTAAGATGCTCAAGCTTAACTTAATAGTTGCACTCACTGACACAGGATAAATGTATCCCTCATGCTGGTCCTGACCAAACCGGTAAATTGCCCCTCACTATAGCTGCACTTTTAGTGGTCTTCTCCACTTTTAATGCTCTTATGCTCATCCTTGAAAAATGCCATAAGGTCTGAAATAGACAAAGTCAACATACTCTACAAACAATTATCTAGGCTAAGTAATACAAAATTATTTTTTTGATCTACTGCTCTGCTAACTAGTTAAAGTGTAGTCAGTGGCTAGCCAAGACAGAGAAAGGGGATGTAATCAAATCAAATCAAATTGTATTGGTCACATACACATATGTAGCAGATGTTACTGCAGGTACCGAAATGCTACATGTAGCGAAATGCTTGTGTTCCTAGCTCCAACAGTGCAGTAGTATAACAATTCACAACAATACACACAAATCTAAAAGTATTCATTTCAATACAGCACATGGATTCAACATGGATTAGGCACAGGTCTCTGATCGCACTGGTGAACGGTAGCTGACAGTGTCGGGTAGAGATGACATGCAGGAGCTTCCTGCAGGAATTTGTAGTCTTGCTGAGGTCTTCTCTGTTGCTAATTAGCTTTTCAAACTTTTGAGGGTAAATTGAGGCGAATATATTGATAAAACTCACCATGTCCGAGAGAGAATTACACCAAGCACATACTGTACATAATTTGAAATGTTTCTAAAAATCACTATGTAAAAAATGAATGGTGGAAAGACAATTGGAAACATTTCCGTGTTTGGCCGTTAGGTTTTATGGGTATGATGATGGGTATGATATGCAGAAGATAGCCTTATTTGGTAAAAGACCAAGTCCATATTATGGCAAGAACAGCTCAAATAAGCAAAGAGAAACGACAGTCCATCATTACATTAAGAGATGAAGGTCAGTCAATACGGAACATTTCAAGAACTTTTAAAGTTTCTTCAAGTGCAGTCGCAAAAACCATCAAGCGCTATGATGAAACTGGCTCTCATGAGGACCGCCACAGGAATGGAAGACCCAGAGTTATGTCTGCTGCAGAGGATAAGTTCAATAGAGTTACCAGCCCAAAGAAATGCTTCACAGAGTTCAAGTAACAGACACATCTCAACATCAACTGTTCAGAGGAGACTGCGTAAATCAGCCCTTCATGGTCGAATTGCTGCAAAGAAACCACTACTAAAGGACACCAATAAGAAGAGACTTGCTTCAGCCTAGAAACACAAGCAATGGACATTAGATGTGTGGAAATCTGTCCTTTGGACTGATGAGTCCAAATTTGAGATTTTTGGTTCCAACCGATGTGTCTTTGTGAGACGCAGAGTAGGTGAACAGATGATCTCCGCATGTGTGGTTCCCACCATGAAGCATGGAGGAGGAGGTGTGATGGTGTGGGGGTGCTTTGCTGGTGACACTGTCAGTGATTTATTTAGAATTCAAGGCACACTTAACCAGCATGGCTACCACAGCATTCTGCAGCGTTACACCATCCCATCTGGTTTGCGCTTAGTGGGACTATCATTTGTTTTTCAACAGGACAATGACCCAACACACCTCCAGGCTGTGTAAGGGCTATTTGACCAAGATGGAGAGTGATGGAGTGCTGCATCAGATGACCTGGCCTCCACAATCACCCGACCTCAACCCAATTGAGATGGTTTGGGATGAGTTGGACTGCAGAGTGAAGAAAAGCAGCCAACAAGTGCTCAGCATATGTGGGAACTCCTTCAAGAATGTTGGAAAAGCATTCCAGGTGAAGCTGGTTGATAGAATGCCAAGAGTGTGCAAAGCTGTCATCAAGGCAAAGGGTGGCTAGTTTGAAGAATCTCAAATATAAAATA